TCATTATTTTTGTTTTCTTTATGATGAAAGCCTGCCTTTGCACTTTTTTCTTTGATCTTTCTTAGTAGTTGTTCCAGGTCTGTGATATTTTCTGCTAGTAGTATAGTTTCATCTGCATATCTCAGATTACTGATGTTCCTTCCTCCTATCTCAGTCCTCCTTCTGTGTCCAAACCTGCTCTTTGTATGACATTTTCTGCATACAAGTTGAACAGCTAGGATGAAAGGATTCAGCCTTGCCTGACCCCTTTGCCAATTGGGAACTATTCAGTTTCTTCATATTCTTTTCTAATGGTAGCTTCTTGTCCTAAATACAGATTGTCCTAAATACAGAATACAGATAGTCATCGGGACTATCAGATGTGGTGGCACTCCCATGTCTTTAAGGGCATTCCATAGCTTTTCATACTGTTTAGAAACTTATTTGTTGTTGTTACTGCTTGCAGTGTTTCAAAGGTAACTTGTTACATTACTCACTATTGCTTTTCTGTTATTCTTCATTGCTTTATTCAAAGGGGGAAATGAAAAGAGTATTTCCTAAAAGTTCTTTCAAAATGCCTAAAATATCCATTAGTAATTAGCAAATGTTACTCATTGCACCTGTAAAGTAGCATTGTTCCCACTTATTCTGTTACTTTTGAAATATAACTTTGTTACACCCTTGTTACCAGAAAAAGGGTGACTCATTACAGGAAAACCAATAATTTGTGGCTAATATGTTAATAGATGCAGATATGTGAATAATGTCTAAGTGGCTAAAGTACACTGGAGAACGTATCTGGACTGTGTTAGGGATGATGAGCACGGATGCCGTAATACTAGAGGAGATGGGGGATTATTTTTTTAAAGATCTGGGGTTTATTTTTGGTTCTCATAGAAGACCAGATCCAGTACCAGCAAAGTATGTGAAGGGGAAATTCTTTCTTTATTTATTTTCATTTGGGGGGAAATGACCATTATTACAGGAATGTATTTGTAACTTTTTTCTTTGCTTTGTGGCACAGGTTTGTTCTTTATCTGTTACACTTATTATTTTATTTTGTGCTTTGCTTCTCAAAAAATGAACAATGTTTTTAAGAAATGCAGAAGGAGACATTTTATGAGAATATTAGGGAAGCTGTTAAGGAGGCATTTTCTTTTCATGTACAGTGGTACTATAATCATCATCATCATCATTGTTATTATTATTATTATTATTATTATTATTATTATTATTATTGAAAACTGTGGTAAAGGTCTCTATCTATCTGTCTGTCTTCACTGTTATTGATATAGAAGAATCAAGGACCTGGTGCTCATTTTTCTTTAAAAGTCTGTGCATTGGTTGTAGACATATATTCCAAAAGCCAAAACTGGAATGTGACATGCTCTCTCCCCTCCGCCTCCTCTTCCCTTTCCTTCTGGCTAGACTCCAAAGGTCTTTGCTTCTTATTCACTACAATGTCAAGATGAAGCCTCTGGTGGTTGTAGTTGTGCTGGTAGGAGCCCTGATGGAAGTTTCTCAGACCTTCCCTGCCTGGTACCACAGAGGTTGGCTGAGATTGTTAAGAGAAGGCAATGGTTGTGGAACATGCCACTTGGAACACTGTTCTGTGCCCACAAACTGTCGAGCTGGGACTGTATTAGACTTGTGTGGCTGCTGTCTCGAATGTGGGAATGTAGAAGGACAAATCTGTGACTTGGACCAAGGCAGCAATTTCTATGGACTATGTGGAGACAACCTGGAGTGCCGACTGGATGTTGATAATATAAAATCTGGAGAAATCCCCGAGGCACAGTGTGTGTGCAAGTCACAGGAGACTGTTTGTGGGCCTGATGGGAAGACCTATGAGAACATCTGCCGGTTCAAGGAGGCTTATGCAGAGAACGAAGGAAACAGCAGCATAAAGCACAAAGGACCGTGCAAATCAGGTAAGGAAGGGCAAGACACAACAGATTCTAATGAAGTTAATGTTTACTGTGCTTCATGCAGAGCTTGAGAAGGTTATGACCCTTGGGGCTTGCTCTCTGCTACATATCTACAGGTTTGCAACCCAGTAGAGCATTATAATAAAAAAAGTATTATATTAATCATAACAGAACTGCTACACACATTAAAAATAGTAGGATGACAGACTAAAGGAGCATGCAAAAAGGTGTGGGAAGGTATGCTCTTTATTTAAATCAAAAACAAGCTGTGCTGACTTCAGTGGGATTTACTCGGGGGGGGGGAAATACAGGATTTTATTTAGCCTATGGGTGCATCTAAAACAGTAGAAATAATGCAGTTTGACACCACTTTAACTGCCATGACTCCATGCACCTGCACTTTTTGGCACAGAAGTTTAAAGACCTTGTAAAACTACAAGTCTCAGGATTCCATAGGATGGAGCTGCAGCACTTAAAGTGGGGTCAAATTGTATTATTTTTACAGTATAGATGCACCCTAAATCTTTAAATTTTATCTTTGGGCTATTTCAGGCCATAATCCCAAATGTAATCTCTATTTTTCTAGAACCAGGAAACATCCTTCCTGGTACCAGACCTTACAGTATTAAAATTTCTTGAGACAAATGTGCCATAAAGTAAGAAACAGCAGCAATGAGACATCTTCTCCCAAGTATTTCTGTGGCAATTTAAAAGTTTGGATGCATCATAAGTTTTTGTTCATGCTCCAAAATTCTGTTCTATTCTATTCTACCCTGTTCTGTTCTGTTCTATTCTAAGTATTGATATACGTTTCCAGCCCACAAGGATTTCTAAGGTGATGTACAACAAAGAAAAGCAATTCAAATAGCACAAAGTTTAAAAATTTAAAAACACATTAAAATGCTCTTTAAAACCTTTTTAAAACAGTCTTAAAATAACCCTAAAATATGATTTAAGAAAATAGAAATTAAAATAGAACAGTTCCAGACATCAAAGGCAATGTGGAAAAGCATTTTTAAAGCTGTCCATTGAGAGCTCAAAACAGGTGGAGCCAGCCAACTTTCTTTGGCAAGGAGTTCCATAATTGAGGTGCTTCTACAGAGACATTTTTGTGGGGTTTTTTTGGGTTAGCCTCATAAACATATTATTAGAACCTGAGTTTTGGAATTTTTTTAAATAGCCAGCACTGCAACTTATGCTTTCTCTAAACTATTTATGATTAACATAGTGAAATTCATATGAGAACAACTAACCCACAGAATGTGGAATATGTAATTGTGGAACACATGAACTGTATGCAAATATGTATATTAATCATAACAGAACACTTATCTACTACACACATTAATAAATGGTAGGATCACAGACTAAAGGAACATGCAGAAAAGCATGGGGAAAGTATGCTCTTTATTTAATAGCTAGGATCTCTAGTGATTCTAACACTTGTGCAAGACAGAAGCACATGACTAAAAGCAAATTTGAAAGCACTTAACGTAATGCTTCAATCTCAGTCAATGTACTTAAAATGACAACATTGGTTCAAAATGTCTAAACAGATGCTCAGACAATTCACAAAGTAGAAAGACTGAGGATGCAACATTAGTTGTGGTAGTAGCAGTAAAAGGAGCAGGAACAGCAATAGCAATGACAAAATCCAAACAACAACAGTAAAGTTTTAAATTCTGAGAATAGAGGGATAACAATTCAGATTCCCCAAATTTCTTAGATTCTTAATACAGAATTAAATACAGCACATAACTAGCTTTCTGTTTTACATCAAGGGACAAAACTTTTGCATGAACCAACATTGCACGGGGGGCGGGGGGAGAAACAAACTGAAAAGATAACGGAGTGGATAGATGAGCTTGGTGACAGTTTAATAGGCCTATGTGGAAATAAGTAATTGTTTAGCAATTAGCATCATTGCTCCATTGCATTTCATGTGATTTGTAGAAAGGTCCAAAGGGCATATGAACCTAGACATGGAAGAGAGTCAAAATGAATTTATGTACATATGTAATTTGGACCATCTTTCAGTTGTGTCAATTGTATATAGCTCTTATTCCTCATTCAGCTGGCACCCTGTTCCTAAAGAAAAGATAAAAAGAGTCCTGGCTTACTGATTTGCAACATCAGTGAAATGTTCCTGCAATACTGGCACATTTTACAACATCATCCTGTCCTTAAGAGAGGTCAAGTCTACTGAATGATATCAATTTGTGATACCAGTTTACCTCAGTATATTAACAGTGTTTGACGGGTTTAAAAAAAAAACCACAAGTGCCTTCCCATGGAGCTTACAATCTAAAACAAAAAATTAGGAAATGTGGGGTAGGGACATTAAAAAGACAAGGCTGCTAAATAACAAATGTGAATGCTTGAAACTCAGCTACAGTTGAAAAAGAGGTGTAAAGGTTTACGAGATAACAAAAAAGGGTGTGACACAGACAGACCAGTCACATAACACTAATATGCACTAATGCAAAGATCTATAATTATATGTTATTCACACTATTCAAATACTACAGGTTGAATAGCCCTTATCAGAAATCTGGAAATCTGAAATACTCCAAAATCCAAAATCGACCACATTGGTGGCTAAAATAGCAGTAGCTTTGCTTTCTGATTGCTTATTGTACACAAACTTTGTTTCATGCACAAAATTATTTAAAATATTATGTATAAAATTACCTTCAGGCTATGTATATAAGGTGTATATGAAACATAAATAAATTTTGTATTTAGAGTTGGGTCCCATCCCTAAGCATCTCATTATTTATATGCAAATTCCAAACTCTGAAAGAATCCAAAATCCAAAACACTTTTGGTCCCAAGCATTTCAAATAAGGGAGACTCAATCTGCATTCACTATTGACATGCTAGTCACATACTATTGCCCAGCTTTGCAAGGCTACTGTGCTTTGATGTATTACATTGTGCCAGAGAAGATCTGCTGCCAGGATTAGATAGCTCCTTTGACTGCGCAAACATATTTGCTCCTTGCTTTGCTCTTTCATTTGATCATTTCAGTCTGCAAGTCTCATTTCCAGTTTTGGGACTGTGACAATCTTACCAGAGCTGTATGGGTGAGAAGCCTGTGTGGTGCAGTGGTTTGAGTGTTGGACTATGACTCTGAAAACCAGTGTTCGATTCCCAGCTCTGCCATAAAATCCACTGGGTGACCTTGGGCAAGTCACATACTCTCAGCCTCAGATGAGGGGAATTGCAACTCCCCTCTAAACAAATCTTGCCAAGAAAACTCTATGATAGGATTGCCTAAGGGTTGACTTTAAGGTACATAACAACAACAAAGGTAAGAGAATGCACACATGAAGGTGGGAGGGAGGGAGGGTTGCAAAGTAAGCATTTTACTCTTAGATCAGATTGGAGCAAAATGACAGCAAAATGTGAGAAGCCATGGGGGAATCCTATTGATTAGAGCAAGGGTAGGCAACCTTTCCCTTTAAGGGCCGAGGGACTTCAGCTCCAGAAGCCTCAGCCATGTTGTCCAGTAGTCCCATGTTGGCCAATAGCTCCTGGGATTCTGGGAGCTGAAGTCCCTCGGCCCTTAAAGGGGAAAGGTTGCCTACCCCTGGACTAGAGCATTGGTGTGTAAAGTGTGTCCCTGGGTGACATGTGCCCCTAAGGCTCCTTTTACACCCCTCCACTTCTTCAGAAACCCTGAATCAGCCCTTTTCTGATCGCTCAAAGAGATCAGTTTACTCTTCAGGAAACCTCCAGATGTGGCCATTCAACTTTTAAAATGTAGCCCTTTCTGGTACTGTTTAAAAATCAAGTTACACCCATTTAGGAAACAAACAAACAAATAGATGTGACCATGGCCACCTGTTTTAGGCGTTCCCCCAGTACTTTTTGATAGTTCATGCAGCCTCTGGGATGTCCTAGAGGCAGAAATTTTATCCCCAGACTCACTGCAGTTGACCAGCCTTTGGCTAGATCAGTGGTTCTCAACCTTTCTAATGCCGTGACCCCGCAATAC